CGGAAGGCAGACAGAGTTGGGGCGGCCAGGACGGCCGCAGGTGGGAGGGGACTTCTCCAGGGTGCCACCGGCCCCGGAAGCCCCTCACCGAAGAAAGGGAGTGGATCCAGCCAGGGCACTCCACAAGGGCGGAAGCACCCTTTTCCCCCGCACCCGCCGAGGCAGTGGGAAGAACCCCCAGAGAGACCCGGAGGTGGGGATCCGCCCCGCAAGGGGCGTTCCAAGGGCGGGCAGAACCGTCAGGGCAAGCGCCCAGGGCCAGACGACCAGTGGGTCGGACAAAGGACACACGGAAACTCCAGGGGGGACAAGCCCCACCTTCCCCTGGATGCAAGACACCCCGGAAAGACTGAGGCAAAGACTAAGGTGGACGCCACGACCGGTGCCGGAGTTGTCGAAGCCGACCCTCATCCTGCTGTACGCTGGGAAGGACGACGCGGGGGCCCTGGATGCCTACCTCCATGCCTACAACCCGGCCTTCTCGGAGTACATTTGGGCAGTGGACATTAGGCGAAAGGGTGGCGATCTTGGACAGGACATGCTGGGAGACGAGCCATACTCTACAATGTGCTCCATGGCCATGGCGGGTAAGGTCGCCTTTGTGGGGGGCGGCCCCAACTGCAGAACGTGGAGCATTCTCCCAAACCGGGAGGCCCGCCACCGGTGAGGGGCAGGGCGGAGCAGACCCTGTGGGGCTTGGAGGACCTGGAGCCCCGGGTAATGGAGGACACGGACAACGACAGTGTGCTCATGCTCCGACAGATGTACCTGACCTCGCTGGCCTACCAAGGACTAGGTCAACGAACAGTCCCGCAGGTTGGCTCCTCCTTCCTGGACACCCCATAGACCCAATGGAGTGCAGCAAGAGCCCGAGCGCAGCGAGGTGCTCATCGATCTGGGTCACACGGGCCTACATTCAATGGGCGAACGCACTCCACCACTCCCTCATCAAGTTTGACGAGTGCCGCCTGGGCCAGGTGGTAGTGAAGTCCACGACATTGTCAACGGACCTTCCCCTTCACCATTGGCATGATCTGCGATGCAACCACGGAGCTCACCCCAGGGGGGAAAAGCTCAACTCCAGTGACCTCAGCCGGTACCCAGAGCAGATGATGCAGGGTCTCGCAGCGGCCATCCTCTGCAGAGCGGGACCCGTCCTGGAGGCGCTGAGGCCGGGGGGCACGGTGCCCCAAGTGAACCCAACGACCCCCCCGAGGCGGCAGAGGGAACCATCTCCCAGCACGCCGGGGGACAACAAGCGCCAGTCCCTGAGGCTGAAGGCCGGCCAACAAGCGTTGGCGGGACTAATGTTGGGCTCACGTCCGGTCTCGGCCTCAGACAATCCTGAGGTCCGGACACCAACACAGCCGGCGGGCAGGAAGGGGTGAAACTCTTCCCCTTCAGCCATGGGCAAGATCTCGGATCGGCCCACCACCCTGCCGATCACGCACGACCCAAATCTCTCCGACAAGGTTATGTACCTCCAGATGGCCTTCAAACAGCGCCCCCTCAGGGACGGGGGTGGGAAGCCCTCACTTGGACGGCTGGCCCCGTGGACTTGGCCACTGTCCAAAGCAGCAGCGATGGGGGCCAAGATCTGTGTCCTCACGTCGCCATGGGGGGACAAACTCCAGGAGTCGCTCTTGTTGGGGGACGGGTCACACTTCCCGGAGGACCTGCTGGAAGATATCAGGGAGATCCTGGCGCCAGGGGCAGGCCGGCCAGCGGAAGGCCAACCCTTCTTCCTGGACATCTTGCACAGCCTGGCGCTGAACATTCAGGACCCCGACCACCAGTTTCCTCGGGATCTGGAACAAGGGGTCCCACTACGGGTCCTCATAACTACCCCTCAGCGGATCATTCCTGGAGGAGGTCCCCATGGGCATGGTAGATGGCCCTCTCACCAAGGTAGAGGCAGCAGCGCGCTGTGGCTGCAATATGGAGGATCTTTGCCTCCGCACCATCTACGATGGCTCGGTGGGCGGGGCCAATGACACCATCAGGAACCAGACGGTGGAAAGGACGACGGCTCCGACGGTGCTGGATGGGGTACAAGCTCTTCATTGGCTACATGCGGCAGCTGAGGAGGGACCTCCCTCTCAGGGTGCCCCTGGCCCCGAGAAGGAGGTCGCTAAACCTCCACCCGAGGGCTGGCAATGGCCGGAGCCGGGCACCAGGTGGGTGCTGCTCAAGGCGGACGTCACCAAGGCCCACCGGAGAGTGAAGGTTGTCAGGAAGGACTGGCGGTTCCAGGTGGCCTCACTGGGGGAAGAATGGTGAACAAGGTAGGCACATACGGCAAGCCCTTCTACTCAGGGTCCTCTACGCACTTTTCCCTCAAGTGGATTGGAACTTCGTCTTTGTGGATCTTCCTGTGGCTGCTTCGCAGCGCTTGGCAACACTCCTGGCCTTGGGCACCCCGCTTAGCTGGAAGAAGACACATTTGGCGGAGGTCAACACGTGGCTGGGCTTCGTGGTCCACCCGAACATCCCGCAGGTT